TGTGTGTGTGTGTGTGTGTGTGTGTGTGTGTGTGTGTGTGTGTTTGTGTGTGTGTGTTTTGCATGGACGTTGAGGCATTCACTGAGGTATTCTCGTTGTCCATGGACACAAATTGGCGTGACATAGGCTACATATTATTACAAAGATGGATGGTCTGCTCAACAGCAGCCATTCTCACCTTGCACAAGAAATAATGAGAAAAAACATAAAGAAGGAAGAGGAGGGGAGGTGAAGGACAGGAGGGTGAGATGAGAGAAAGAAGGAAGAGGAGAAGAAGACGTGGAAATCATACAGTTAACCGGAAGAGTAAAATCCTTTAGGGCTACAAATCTGTTGAGGCAGCAGCTGAGTGAGTGCACATGTGTGTGTATATCCTCGTCTCTGTCCTTTCCCCTCCTCTGCCTGAGGCACAATCTGCTACAGCGATAATGTGGAAGGATTCATACTGCCATCTTGTGGCGTGATGCAGCAACTACAGTTTTTCAGACGCTGCTCTTACAGCCAGTGCTTTAATTGCCGCCAAGCATTGTAGCTCATGTTGTAATATAAAATGCTGATGTTTCACACCTCTGTCACCTTCTCTATGTCTACAGATATTGTTTGACCAGGCTCAGAGGTCGATCAAGCAGCAGCTTCACACCTTCATTAAAGAGTGAGTATCTCATCACAATTCATTAAGTAGCTTCCCCCAGCTGATCTAAAGAAAGATGTATTCAAGTTTATATGTAATGACTAAAGACAGGAAACAGGCATCTTAGGGCAGAAAGTGAGAGTGAAGTTTTTTCCCCCAAAATGCCCGGTAATAACACGTGTATTTCAAAATAAAAGACCTACATACTCTTGTGATTTGGCATAGACATGGACATGAATTAAACTCGTTGCCTCTATCTCTGCGCCTCCGTCAGGGATGTGCGTAAATTCAAGGACACCAAGAAGCAGTTTGACCGGGTGCGTGAGGATATGGAGCTGGCCCAGGTGAAGAACGCCCAGGCACCCAGGAACAAGGTGCACGAGGCTGAAGAGGCCACACAAGCTCTCATCCTCAGCCGCAAAGCCTTCAGGCACCTGGCACTAGACTACGTACTGCAGGTGACACAGACACACACACACACACACAAACATACTCAATATTGTTTTATCAGTGCTGTCCAGTAAGTGGCGCTGACAGTTAACAGCTGCTGAGCCTAGATATACACACACTCTCAATACTCCTCAATGCAGAAAAGGAAGCGCTGTGTTGTTTTAAAAAAAGGATTAAATCACATATAGTCTCAAAAAAGCAGCCTAAAACCTACATTTTCCTTTTTGTTTCAGATTAATGTGCTTCAGGCCAAGAAGAAGTTTGAAATCCTGGATGCAGTGAGTAGCCCAAATATATATCCTCTAATTTCTGTTTGACATCTCAACATTATTGTTTATGAGAGTCTATCAAACATTTATATTGTGGAGTCCCTGTGGTGTGAGAAGGATAAGTAAAACAGCTGTCACGCACCATTCACCAAGCCAAATTCCTTGTATGTGTAACATACTCTGCAATAAATCGTTTCTGATTCTGATTGTATTACAACCATCATTGCCTCCATGTGTCTCCTCCAGATGTTGTCCTTCATGCGTGCCCAGTGCACACTGTTCCAACAAGGCTTTAACATCTTGGACGAGATTGACCCCTATATGAAAAAACTGGCTGCGCAGGTAAGACGAAATCAACAAACTGAAACCACGCACACACACGCACACACACACACACACACACACAGTTGAAATACAAATACATATGCAGTGTACCGCTACTTTTGTTACTGCATTTGCTCAGCACTCCCTTATGAGCAACAGCCTGTTTGGCAAATTATACACACACTTCAAAAATAAATGCGCTCAGTTTTCAGTGACATTTTCACTGCCCTTCAACTGTTTGAGTCACGTCTGTGGTTTTATTTCATTTCTTTCATTAAATGCATCAAAAATGTTTACAGCAGAAACTGTGACTTTATCTTGAAGTTATTTTCTAGATTTATTGTTGTTTCTTTAGTCATAGGAGAATATACTATCAAGCCAAACAACTACAACAGCTTTACCAATCTGTATTATAAAAAGAGTGACTTCCTTTTAAGGTTAAATTAAGCTTAAGGTTAACATAAGGTTGGGCTGGACTGGGCTGGGCAAGTATACATTAATGTTTCAGCGTGTACTTCTGTTTGTGCATAGTTTTCTGTCTGTCTTCATGCTTCTTTTATTCCGCTCGCAGTTTATTTTGCCTGTCGCGTTGACTCTGCTGTCGTATTCTCTGTGCAGCTGGATCAGCTGGTCATCGACTCGGCGGTGGAGAAGAGGGAGCTGGAGCACAAACACGCCCTCATCCAGCAGAGAGTGAGACAACAACACAACTCTTAACTCTGAAAATGTGGATAATATAGAGCCCCTCAATACTGTGGCCATGATTTTAATGCTTACATTGTGTTGTTATTCTTTTTATAGCCACTGCATTCCAATTTCAATTGCAGATTCTACATTATTTGCATATCAAGTATTTTTGTTAAACCATGTTGGAGTGTGAAAAAAGGGAAGATGGCACAGTGGTTTATTTTATGCTTTCAGGGGAAGAGTAGATATGTTTCCTAAAAGGTTGCTGAACTAGATTTGTCTCGTGACACAAAAGTTATATCAACATTTTCCAGTCTCACTTAGGGTGACAAGTTCCTCAGGATTCAGTAGAAGAAGCTCTTTGAAAACCTATTTATCTAAAATAGGTATTGTTAAAACAAATAACAACACCCATTTGTTATTTGAAAAAACAACAAACGAGTTGCTTATCTTGTGTAAGCATCAAATACCTTGAAAGTTTGACAAAGAGCTTTCTGTGGAAATTTTTACATTGTCTGTTTCATGACTTGAGCTGCCGTCTTTTCTTTTCCTCTTTTTTATTCAGAGAGGCTTCCAAAAATAATCAAAACAAGTTTATGAGCGTTGGATGTATTTTTTTCTTTGGCCTCAAATTAAGAGTTTAAAGAGAGACAGCAGTTTCCACAAAGACAACTTTGATATATTTATTTCATGGGTCCCTCAGCTTAATAAAAACAATTCACCCAAAAACCTCACCCTGCTTAAGAGTCATGCTACACACAGATGCACAAAATTCCTCCATCTGTTACCTGAAGAGATGCCAAAAACATGGCAGTTTTTCTGCCTGATCGATTTATTGTCCAGGAGGCATTTTGCCAGACACAACACACAGCTCTGTGCCCGACATAATGGCCTTTCAGCAACACTGAGCCCTGAAAGATGCTACTTGACTTTCTTTCTTATTTTTCTGTACTCAAACAACGAGGTGAACATTCTTCATGTCTAAGGTGCTTTAGCTAAAGAGTCAGGGATTCTCGATTAAGATAAAGAGCAACTATTTCCTGGAGGCCTTGTGTGTTTCAGGAGGACTCAAGACACTGACTGGGACCTGATGTCTCATGATAACATATTTGGCTTAATGTGGTGAAATGCAGTCAGTGGTGATCTTGTATTAACACTTGTACCTCTCTTTTTCTCTTCTCACCTGGTTCTCTCCTGGCCATGTTCTTCCTCCAGACTCTGATGCAGGTGAGTTTATACCTTTCACTTTGATCTGAACCTTGGAATTCCACAGCCTGCACATGACATGCCCTGTGATGCAGTGCAACACATCCAAATAGGACAATCTTGTCAAGGACCAGAGGTTGAGATAAATAGATAGATAGTTACTTTATTAATCCCGCAATATCTGCAAAGAAAGAATGTTTTTTTAACCACGGACAGACAGTAGAAAAAAAGCACAAAGTTTTGACTTTCAAATGTTTTCTTAGTTCCAGTTTGGTACATGTTTGTGCCTGCTTTTAATCAGTAATAACTTAATTTGATAGTTGTGTGTTTGAGGTGTGTATGTCAGTTTGCCTGGAAGCTTTGCACACAAATCAGTGTATTTGTCACTGCTCAGTGACATGCCGCCTCTGAGCTTTTGTGTTTCCTTTTTTTTTTCCACCTCACTGAAGCTTGAGTTTCATGACTTTGTGTACATGAAGTCTCGCCTCTTCACGAAGACCCTCGGTCCCCCTGACAAGTGCTACTTTTCTCCAACCTGCCTGTAATACTCATCTGAGTACTTTTCATTGTCTTATTGTACCCTGCGTGTTTATTCTTGTCTCTCTTTTGATGTTGTCTTTGTTATCTTGTTCTAGATCTCTCAGCTTCGCCTCAATATTTCTGTTGATCTGTATTCCTCCCATGCACACATGCATGGAGGCAAACTCTGTTTCTCATATCTACACACGCACACATACACACACACACACACACACACACACACACACACACACATGAAGCTTCACACCCTCACTCTCTTCTGCCTGTGCCTCTCTTAGAAGCATACAGCTCTCCCAAATGTCCTCCTGCTATTTTGTGATGGTCCAATTTGTTTCTGTATGTATTGCATTGTGCAACATAAATGATGCTTTACACAGTAAAACTAGTACACAGTAGGAAATAATCCAGGGCAAAATATCAGGAATTGGTATTTTATTAGTAAGGATGGTCATTCAAGCTTTTTGTGGATATGTTTTTCTGTAACATTTCACATCTCTGTGCCCTTCTTAAAGTAAATAGCTATATTAGATGTTGACATATTTAAAATGAACCCTAATGCCTCAGATATCCATTACATTTTATTTTTAGCTGTCAAATCCTGACAGTCCTTGTTTCAGTCGGTATAAAAATATAATCGAATGAAAAAAGCCTACAGAAGCAGCAGTAAGATGATCTGAGCACAGCTGGGCCTGTTCTCTGCTGCTTTGCATAATGCCAGCATCAACCCACTTCGTCCTCCGTCCACTGCCTGCCAAAGTCAACAGATGGCATTATGACGCATAGTAGTTGGTGGAATGAAAGACAAAGAGCAGAGGACAGATAAAGAGAGAAGACAGATAAAAAGGAGGAGATCAATTTAAGATCCAGACAGGGAGTATGAAAGAGAATACAACTATACCAGAAGAAAAGGGGCGTCTCTGAATTATAGCGTAAATGTTCTTAATGTAAAGAATTCAACTTTATATCTCTAGTTCAGTTTATTTTCCACAATGATATGATCAGAATGAAGCCACTGCATGGAGCTTTTTTAAATGAATGATACGATTGCTTTGTGACTTAAAGGAGCTTTGTTTTACAGTGTTTTCTGTTAATTTATAAAAACAACTCTTATAAAATCATTGAAGCTTCTTTCACAGTATCTATTCATGCATTCATTGCACAGTTAAAAATGTAGGTCAAACAGAGTTTTTGTTTGTATACTGACTAAACACTGGCCCTATGAGGAAATGCATTTGATGGATAATTATCAAAGCCAATTAGTGATAATGCTCTAGAAAGTCAGATAGAGAGATATTCTTCTCTCTACCATCCTACTCTGTAATTACATCTGTGAAAAAGAAAAAGAAGTAAAAGTGCAGAAAATTATGCCACGATCCATTTCAGATCGTGGCATAATTTTTCTCCCCTTTTTTTTGGGAAAACTGCTCCTGACGTATGTAAATGTAGCGGTACAAGAAGCAAAGCCACAAGACAGCAGAGTTTGTGAATTATAGATGGCACACATGCTTTATTAATATACCATTAAGTAACTGCAGAAGTCATACTCGAGAGAGTAGGACAGCTTTGTTAAGAATGTAGTCTAAACTGGATGTCACCTTGCAAGTTATTTTTCAGTAGAAGGAAGAAGGTACATGATGGTGATGATACAAACACTTCCTCCTTAATTCAGTGGAAATCCATCAGGACATCTGTGTACTCACAAACATGAGGCCAAAACGTGTCAGTGAGAAAAATGACTTTAATCATTCCATCTCTTTCACAATCGTTCACTTCTCTTCCTCTCCTTTTTGTGTTGTTCTTCACCTTGCTTTTACTTTCACTATCTCGACTATCCCCTCCCCTTCTTAGTATTTCACATGCTCCCTCTTTCTCCTCTCTCTATTCTTTCACAGCCGTCTTTTATGTTTGTGCAGGACTTCATTGTGGCTCCCAGGGGGATTGTCGCCTCAGCTCTCTCCTCCATTGTTATAGCATTTGGCTGTACATCTTTTTAAGTCAGAGAGACGTAAACAGAGAGAGAGATAAAAACACTGGGAAAGATATGCAAGTGCTGTAAGAAAACGGAAGGGAGTGGGAGAGTAAACATTTTATAAACCAAATGTGTTTTTACATTACAATGCAGACTACGTCATCACTTATATTAAATCATTTAACTAAACTACAACCTAAGTTGTTTATTCACAGTACCCGGGTTATGATGTGCATGCACAATACTTTAAATGTCTTTGTAGCCTATATAGCAATGAATCAATGCTTTGAATACATTTGTGTTAAAACATGGCGGATAGGGGCGTCTTCAATTTGATTCAAACTGGGGATTTGTTGCATGTCGTCTTCCTCGGTCTTTCCCACCATTTCCTGTCAGTCTCTACTATCGTATTAGAATTAGAATAAAGTTAAATAATTAAGTAAAAGCAGGGCGACTTGTCACTGTATCCCAGGCAGAGGCTGTGATTTAATGTGGTCCTTAAACCTTGTAGCCTACATAGGCTGTGTTGTGTCACTGGAGTGTGTTGGATTGCATAATTGAACAGGTGTGTCTGGTATGTTGTTCACCCTGTGGACAATCTAAAAGACATCTAAAGCCTACAACCTAAAAATGACCATATAATTTAATTAACATCTCTGACACAGTCTCACATTGTTTCACAAATCGGGGATCAATTCTGCAATATATACATTTCTAATGTATTTTGTGGGTCCCTGGTTTGGATAGAGGCCGTTTCGCGGCCTCCTGTGCCGTTGGACACTTGTGTGCTGCAATCCTCTGTGGTCCGGCTGATTTAAGGTGGGAAGAAGGGGCTCCGGCTGGTGTTTGGGGAGCAATAATGTTAGCTTGATTAAGCAGGAATAGTGTTCAGAGCCGCAGACAGATGGAAAGCTGACTCCTCCAGAACTGTGGATGAAACGCCGCGCTTCAGTGGGGGGCCTTAAATCGTGCTGTGGGGCGGGGAGGAGGCACGGTACGTAAAAATGAAATGTTTGATCCCCGGCAGACCGAGACGGGGTCAGCGGGGCACGGGGACTCCGTGGCAGCTGTATGATAATGAGCTCTCGCGCCAGATACACGCGACCGCGGCAGTCGACAGGTGGCGTTGAGTGAAGGAACGCCACGAGCGCGCCGCTGCTGGCAGTCTCTCATCTGGATTCGCGTGGGATGCGCGTGTTTCTCTCGATCCGCTACCCCAATTTATTAACCTGTGGGATACTTTAGAGATGCTCCTTTCACTCTGACAACTTTACATAATTTAGTTATTTATAATTACGTTTTTTGTTGCGCTTGAGATGCTGTTGGATGTCAGTGTGGTTAAGATGAAGATATTTGGCAGGCTGGACTATACATTGGTGAGGATCACTTCTTTCGTTGTGTCCTAGTTTTCATGAATGCTTCTGTTATCAGTGCTTTGTTTTACGTCTCTATGGAATTTGTCAAAGACCAAAAAAATCTTCTCTTTTTGTCATTTTGTCTTCTTCTACTCAGGGTTGATGAAAATTAACTTTCTCACTCGTGGTCTGTTTCAGATTGTGGGAGAAAGCTGTGGTGCTTGAATGCATGTGTATATCTGTATGTGTGTGTGTGTGTGTCAAACCAGGTTGTTTCTTTGGAGGAAACACCTCTGAGCTCTGAATGCCGCATCAGCTGGCAAGGAGACAGACTGTTGTGTCACATCCCACCATGTTTTTGCTTCACATGGCCTGAATGTTTTCACACAATCACAGAAAAATGATTAAAGCTGTTGCTTAAAGTACATACGGCAGTTAAATTCTGGTCACCAGTGTCACATGTTGTCAATCTCTGTATGACTCATTCAACTAACCAAAGAAAGCAGACATTTCTAGCCGTAGTAAATGAAAAAATGCTGTTTGTGAATGTTGTGTCATCTGGGTTGATCAATGAAAAGGCCTTGATACTTTTAACAAAGTCAAAGGGGCCCTGAAAGTACATGATGACATGTGCGATTACATAGTCAGTGGGGTTTTGTGAAAAAAGAACACACAGATTTATTCCTCTCTCTCTCTCTCTGTGTGTGTGTGTTCACCTGCCTATGTGCACCTTGCCCCAAACCAAAGGCATTCTTAACAATAGTGAAACCTAACCTCAGCCTCGGTTTTAATCCAAATCTGTGTCCTTGTGTTTTTCACCTCGCTGAGCAGGTGGCATCTGACTTTAGACGTGTTTCTTGGGAAATTGAACTCTGTGTGGACAAAATAGATTAGAAATTAGAGAACAGCTCTTAGATGACAGGTTGAGAAGTGCAAATTGTTCCTATTCTTTAAAGGTGAACTAATAAACAGATGGTAGACCGACATTGTTTTTTGTGGAGGAACACAGACGCATTTCAGAAAGAAAAGGTTAACATAACATAAGACATGTTCCACCGTAGCAGTTCGGGAGCACTGTTATTGAATGTGGTGCTGATAAGGCGCTATCTCTGTGATGATAAGGTGGACTTTTACACTTATTGCTCCATGCTGTCACCTTACTTAGTATTTATGCAGTGTGTCCAGCCTTGCATGAAGTGAACTTTACCATGCTTTTTACACAGAACGAGGACTGTGGATTTTGCCCCCCATCACTCACATTGGAATCGCTTTAAGAGGGGAAACTCTTTGCAGCTGTGTGGATGGGAGGAATGATTACAGACACCACTAAATCTTTCAATGCACATGCTAGTAATGTTTTAAGACAGACTTGGAAAAAAAGAGAGCCAACTGGCTATAGTTTGTTGAAAGGACGGCATCCATTGTTTTTGCAAAGCAGGAGCAACTCAATCATGAAACTTTGGTCTTTGCAGTACACTGGTTTTATTTGTTTCATTTAAAATGAAAGCATGCTGAATAAATGAAGCAGTACCCTTATATTGATCTTGTGCACCTATGTGTCCCCCCCCAACAGGACTTTTCGTATGATGACCACAAGTTGGAATTTAATGTGGATGCACCCAATGGTGTGGTCATGGAGGGCTACCTCTTCAAGAGGGCCAGCAACGCGTTCAAGACCTGGAACAGGTAAAAGAGTGAAGTGAGGAGAGGGAGAGCACAACAGAGAGGGAGTCAATTTACAATTCAAAAGACGTTCTGATTAAAGTTAATGAAAACCGGTACACATGCAAAACAATGAACTGTAAAACAGTTAGTTAGTAAACAGGGTGAAATAACAATAAAAAGACAATGTATTGTAAGGAAAGGTCTGGTCTGGTCTGTTTTTTGAGAAAGCATTTGAATATTTTCCACCAAATTCTAAAGGCCCCAATGTCAAGGGTCTTTTCTTAACTTTGGACTGTCTATGAACTCCTTCATGTGATGATGACTATTACCGTAGAAACTGATTTGTATAAGAAAGAAGAATTTCCCTCATTGGCCTTCACCTAATTCCAGAACGTATCCATAATCATCTACAGATTTATTAATCACCATTGTAATGTCCAGTGCTTTTCCCTTCCAGGACAAATTTCAGCATGCAGACATTTGATTGATCATGTCTCTCTCTCACAAACTGTCAAATCTCTTACCTTCTCCCCTCCTCAAGGCGGTGGTTTTCTATACAAAACAGCCAGCTGGTCTACCAAAAGAAACTCAAGGTACAGTTTGATTTGGTCAATGTAAACTAAACTAATTCTTCACTAAGAGTAAACTATTGAAAAATGTTTGATGGTTCAGCGTTATTGGTAAAATGATTAATAGTTTGCACATTAGAGGAGAATAATGGTGGATTTATGAGCAGGATAACCTGCTTCTGTGGCTTGAAGAGTAAAATAGGATAGAGTTGTTGTGACCTTCCTCTCTGCCAATGACAGGACTCTTTGACAGTGGTGGTGGAGGACCTGAGGCTGTGCTCTGTCAAACCGTGTGAAGACAATGAGAGGCGGTTCTGCTTCGAGGTTGTTTCACCCTCTAAGTAAGTCTGAATGTGTGTGTGTGTGTGTGTGTGTGTGTGTCCTTTTATAAGGATAAAGGCTAATCCAAACTAAACCTCTCTAAAAGCTTTTGCTGTAATCTTCTGAGATTTTGACTCATTATTGACTATATCATTTGGATTTTACTTATCAGCCAAATAACATGTAGCTTCATAGCATTCGACAGCTGTGGGCAGGTATTACATAACTGGCCTCTACAAACCTGCAGGAGCTGTATGCTGCAGGCAGAGTCTGAGAAGCTGCGGCAAGCTTGGATCCAGGCAGTCCAGGCAAGCATCGCCTCTGCTTACAAAGACATCGCCGACAATTATTACATCGAGGTATGAACACATACATGACTACGCAACAGTCACATAATAGCACACGAGTGGTGTTTCTTTTCATTACAAGTTGCTCCCCAGGTAGCTTCAGATTCTCCGTCTCTGACTTGTCCACCTGTGTCTGCAGCGTTTGGACCGGACAGCCTCGCCCTCCACCAGCAGCATCGACTCTGCCAGCGAGCCCAGAGAGAGGGGGGAGAGGGCTGAGAGGTTTGTTAGGGGAGGCGTGGATAGCCTCCTCCATAGGGTACAGAGCCTGCCGGGCAATGAGTTGTGCTGTGACTGTGGCCAAACGGCTCCGTGCTGGGCCTCCATCAACCTGGGGGTCCTGCTCTGCATCGAGTGCTCAGGGATCCACAGGTGACTGCACTTAACAATGCGAGAGAGTATGTTTGGAGTCGAAAAGAACCACAAAAGAACCGGTTTTGCCAGTGTGAAATAACAATCTACAGCAGGGTGTAGCCAGAGATAAGCCACCTCAATCATCTTTCCATGAAGTCCTCCTAACTTGTCACAACCCGCCAGACTTACATGAGCAAACTTCTATTTTAAAGCATCCCATCTTATTAGCATGTTACGTTGCAGTGACTACTCTGCTATGCTATTATGTCAACTCATCAGTTAAAGCTCTACTGTGAATAGAAAAACAGCAGTTATTAAGATATCTGCTAGAGGTAGTTAGAAATATGGGTATGTGACTCTTATGATAATTACAGTCACCAAAGTGAATGTTTCAGTAATTAGAGAAGTTTTTAGCTTTGCTCTAGAGACTCGAGTAGAGTCACAGAAAAGTTGCCACCTCAGGCAGTTGTGCTAAAAGAGGCAAGAGTAAAACTGTGCTTGTGGTTAAATACTCTCCTTACACTTTCTTCATATCATCTATTATATATTTATATGTATAAATATTAATATATAATCTATTTTTCTTCTTGTTTATTTCAGGAGTTTAGGTGTCCAGTGCTCTAAAGTGCGTTCACTGACGTTAGACTCATGGGAGCCAGAATTACTCAAGGTGTGTCTCCCCAACATATTTTCTTGCAGCTTCTCCTCTCTGTTCTGTGCTTTTTTTCCCCACCACCAGAGTTTCATGTAACATTCCTTAGTGCTTTGCAAAACAATTTTGAACCACTACTTTTTTTCTGTTTCTGTCTTCGATCTTTGCACTCCTTCATTCTACTCTCATGTTTAGCTGATGTGTGAATTGGGGAACACTGTGATCAACCATATTTATGAGGGAGCCTGCGGGGAGCTGGGAGCGAAAAAAACGGGACCCACCAGTTCAAGGTCAGTCTTTTACTCTATTTGGCAAGGAGAAGAGCATCATAGCAAAAAGGAAAACTTTCTTCTGTATATTCCATTGTTAGATACTTTTGGCCACTCTAAAGTCTATTAAAGGTGTCTTCACTGACTTATCTGTATGGTGTCATCTGTCTTTCAGTTTCCACCATCTTATTTTAAACTGAATTATCTGTATATGTCATATCTCCAATTATTTTAAATATTCCGTTTGTGACCATCTACCTCCAGACAGGAGAAAGAGGCTTGGATAAAGTCGAAGTATGTGGAGAAACGCTTCCTGAAGAAGATGAGTGGGAGCGAGGCTTTGGTGGAGGGTGAAAGGAAGTCCCGGCCCTGGACAGTGAAGAAGTGCCAGCGACGCAACAGCTCTGTTCGGGCCCCCCACAAGGCTCGCAGGAAATACCATCGCTACGAGCCGGGAAGCGCTGCACCTGCTAACCTCTCAGCAGGTCAGTGCAGAGAATTAACTTCTCTGTAGAAGCACAAGGCCCATGAAATTAAGAGCTGCAAGATATAAGTGTATATATATATATATATAGTCTACAAATACAACCCGAAGCCCAGACTGGAATCTTGTTGTGATGTTTTGTCCTTTGGCAGCTGCTGCAGCAAAGTTTCGCCGGGACTCCCTGTTCTGTCCAGATGAGCTGGACTCACTATTTTCCTACTTTGACACTGGCTCTGGTCCTCGCAGTAAGTCCACTACACAGTCGGTACACACAGGCACAGTGCACCTTGCAAGATTATTGTACATTTTCAGGAAGATGCAGGTCCTTACTGTGACAGAAGAATTCACACACTCAGAGAGTTCATATTGCAATTTCTGAAATGCATTCTATTAATTGCGCAGTCCTTCCAGTGATGGCGGTGTGCGTGTGTATAAGAAGAGCAGTATGTGCTGTGTAATGATTAACGTGTCCGTGGCTTGGCAATGCTTGGCCCTGCAGGTCTTAGCAGCGACAGCGGCCTGGGAGGAAGTACTGACGGCAGCACAGACATCCTGGTATTTGGCTCGGTGGTGGACAGTGTCACAGAAGAAGGTACGTGTGCTTCCGTGTTGTATTATATGTTACTTTTTGTTACATTTACTTGTCATATGTTTTACATATCATGTATAGTTTAATACCAAAACTGGACACTATTTACTGCCTTACCCAAAAAGTTGGCTTGAAGAAGACATCCTCCCTATTTATTTGCATCATCCTGTTACCTTACCTACCCTCAGAGGAGGAGTCGGAGGAGTCCTCCAGTGGTGAGGTGGAGATCGAGCAGGAAGTGTCTTCAGACCCCGAGGACCCGAGGGAGCTCCACCCCGGAGCTCTACTCCACCGATCCTCCCGTCTACACAACCTGCCACTCATGGCTGAGGCATTGGCGCACGGCGCAGACATACATGCTGGGAGTGAGGAGGAGGGCAAAACGCCACTCATTCAAGCCGTGGGCGGGGTGAGAGACTCTGTTTGTTCAGCCTGTTAGACAATTAGCTGGAAGTGAGAGGTTTGTAAACACATAATGGTTAAGCCTGATCAACTGAACCTTTTATTTGATTTTATTACCATTTGTATTGTTAAGATTTTCCGTTACTATGGAGACTGTCTGGGTTAAAAATTTAAAGTGGATAACCTGCTGAAGGACACAGATTTTATGCGTAAACACAGCCATAAACATCCTCAACCATAAGTGATTAAAAACATGGGAAAGATCTCCACTATTACCATAATATCTGCTGCTATGAATTGCATGACTTTCCCCCCGTTCTAATAAGTATTGTTAAAATGCCAAAAACTAGACTTCTCAAAGCAAATAAACTAATGCAAACCACTCTGTCTGTCTACTAGGGTTCTCTGATAGCTTGTGAGTTCCTGCTACAGAACGGAGCCGATGTGAACCAGAGGGACATGAGAGGCAGAGGCCCGCTGCACCACGCCACCTACCTGGGACACACTGGGTAAGGATCGCCTGCAACGTGGCAGGAAGTTGTTATGAGGGTTCTTCTTCCACTTGTTTTTTACCCCTGGTTCACGTTCCAGCCTGAATGTTCATAGTGTGAGCACAGCATAACTGGAACTATTCAAGTTTCCAAGTATGTCACAGCCAATAATCTTTGACCATTCTTGCCCTGTAAATAGAGCATACAAGGAAGTTTGATCAATGCAAAAAGTCATGACACAGCACTGTTATAGAAAGCAAAAGCTCTCTGTGTGGCTCTCTTTGAATGGCATACATTCTTGTTGAGTCTTGTCTCCCTGACAGGGTGATTGACAGCATGAGGAAGGATGATTTTAAAAACATGGTTGGGACAGCTTAAGTCGCCCATGAAATCTTATCTGTAACTGGAGACTAGAGTATGGAGTAGAAAGACAAGCGAATGATGAATAAGACAAGTCATTGCATTGACAATTCCGTGAATTGTTTACCTAGGCATCCATCCACCCCATCGGTTTATCTGCTCTCCTGACTCTCTATCATATAATATCTTTAATTTCCCCTCTCATCATCTGTCATGGTGTCAATAACTCTAATATTCACCTCTCTCCTTTGTGTCTAATTCTTGTTTTGCGCAGTCAAGTGTGTCTGTTCCTGAAGAGGGGAGCATCTCAGACGGAGGTGGATGAGCAGGGTCATGACCCCCTAAGCATCGCCGTCCAGGCTGCCAACGCAGACATCGTCACCCTGTGAGTGATCCTACTTCAACTAGCCCTTATGAGCAAGTTCCTTATAACTCTTTATTCACTGATGCTCATGCTTGAGAACAGTTGGTTGGAATAACTCATTGGCTATTCAAAAGTAGCTCATCCTTTCCTTCAGCAAGTAACACGCTGCACCCAGCATCATTAACTCAAATTAATTGTATTCAGTGAAAAGTGTCTTTTTGTCAGATTAATGCTGTATTTTGAAATGTGTAGTCTGATCATTTTGTTGGTTAACATTCTAATGTGAGCAATAACACACTAGAGCATTAGACTGCTTGGAATATACTAAAAGTGATAAAACAAACAAAATAATATTCACCCTATGTCTTCTTACTTGCTTTTCTTTAAACTGAGATGTGGTTGAGCCCTGGAAGCTCTGGAAGTTCATGAATGAACCTTCACACTTCAATATCTAAAAGCTTTAGATTGCGTTATGTTTCAATTATAAAATCTGATGGTTGATTGTCTGAATTGTATTCCTCATTGTTGTCTTTACTCTCTCTTTCCCTGCTTTCCTCTCTTCTCTCATCCTCCTCTCTCCACTGTGGTCTATCTCCCCCGCCTCACCTCGCCACCTCAACATCTCAACTTTTTCACTCCCTATTCTTTTCTCACCTGTCTTTTGTCATCTTACTATCCCATTTCTCATGTCTGCTTCCATGTGTGTCCTTCTCTTTCATCACTGTGTCTCCCTCTGCCCCGTGTATTTTTCTGCTGTCCTCCAGATTGCGTCTTGCACGGATGAACGAGGAGATGCGAGAGGCGGAGGCTCCATTGGGTCAACCAGGTCAATACCACAGCAGCAGCCCCACTGAGCAGCAGTATAGGAAGTGCATCCAGGAATTCATCTGTCTCACCATAGAAGAGTGCTAGTGGACACTTTTTTATCCAGGAGCGAAGCTTGTGCTCTCTCTCTCTCTCTCTCTCTCTCTCTCTCTCTCTCTCTCTCTCTC